ACATAATCACATAACATAACATTAGGCCATGCCCGCTACATCGGGCCCCGCCCGGCATCGGCTCCGCCGGCATCGGGCCCCGCCCGGCATCGGACCGAAGTCGGGCAATGGGCTCCGCCCGGTATCGAGCAAAGATCGGTATACATATCAACATAATACATAATAAGCACATAACATATATATATAAACATTCCTCGGGCCCCGCCCGGCATCTAACCGAAGTCTAGAATGTATAAACAAGCACATGCAAGAATCACGAAGACATCAAGCATACAAACATTCCTCGGGCTTTCCCCGGCATCGGACCGAAGTCTGGAAACATATAAACATATAAACCTACATTGGGCACTGTCCGGCATTGGACCATAGTCCGACACATGCTAACATACATAAACAGGTCGGTATTGGTGCCTTAGACCCGTTCCTAAGAGGAAACTCACCTCAATGTCGTGAATAGCTGAAAGTCCCTACTCTGCAACCGGCTCTACTCACACCCTATACAGAACAACCTCTTAGATGACACTCCATACTCAAAACCCCTTCATGGGTCAACCTTGGTCAAAGTCCAAGTCAACATTCTGGTCAAAGTCAACATTCTGGGTGGACTCAACTCGCCGAGTTAATCTGTCAACTCGTCGAGTTCCATAAATCAAAATCTTGAAATCGCGATCTAACTCGTCGAGTCACCCCCCTGACTCGTCGAGTTCCCATGCTACTCATAGTCGTGATAAAGCAAGTCAACTCGTCGATTCCCTCCTCAGACTCGTCGTGTTCTACCTTATTCAAAATCGGGACAAATCGACTCAACTCGTCGAGTTCCTCTATGGACTCGATGAGTTCCTTAGTGTGTTTGGGCCATCTAAATGGATTATGCCCCAACTCTCCAGATATGGGCCTCATGCTTCACCTACACACTGAAAATGTCCTTCTAAGAGTAAAGTTTCCAACTTTACCCGTTAATACCCTTATTTGAAGAATCTAGCTAAAACCCTAACTCTTTAGGACCTAGACCTTGGTCCACAAGTCATCCATACTCCAAACTAAGGCATACAAACAAAGATCTAGACCCTAAACACTACATGAACACATAAAGCTTCCTCCTTTCACTCCATGCATGACCTTTTGGAGCTTAAAAGGCCAAAAGGACATCCTATAGCTTGCATGGGGCTTCAATGGCCATAAATTTTGCACCTTTATGCCATGAAAGCCCTCCATGCTTCCAGATCTGATGATATACTCACTTGGGACGTCCATAACCCAAAGATCAAGCTTCTTGGACCAAAAACCCCCATAGATAATAATAAAGAGATCTAAGAAGTTATTAAGCAAGTTTGAGACTTGCTTACCAGAAAATGATGAGAATAAAAATGGAGTCTCTGGATCTACAAGCTTCCTCTTGAATCCTCTAGCTTCTTCTTCTTCCTCAAGCTTCAAACACACAAAGCTTCACTCAAAGATGGATCACAAGCTCACAATTGCATTAGGGTTTATGGATCTACGGTTTGGGAATTGGAGGCTGTAATTGAGGTTGGCATAAAGGGATTAAGATGCTTAAATAGGGTGCAAAACCCATAAATTAGGGTTTCATTCTGGCAGCCTTACTCTTCGAGTAGACTTCAAAACCCGCATCCAAATCCAATCCCTACTCGACAAGTTTTGGGCCTCCAACTTGTCGAGTTCCTACATAAAAATGTATAAATTAATAATTTAAATGCATACCAGGAACCAGGCGTTACATGGTCATTCAAGGTTTTAGGCAAAAACCCAGTATTAACTATTTTGATATGTATGCTCCGATTACGAGTATTTCTACTATTAGATTGTTGATTGCCTTGGCAAGTATCCACAATCTAATTATCCATCAAATGGATGTTAAAACAGTCTTTTTAATTAGTGAACTTGATAAAGAAGTTTACATGAAACAACCAGAAGGTTTTGTTATGCTCAGTAAAGAGCATATGGTATGTAAACTGGTAAAATCGTTGTATGGGTTGAAACAAGCACCCAAACAATAGCATCAAAAGTTTGATGAGGTTGTTTTTTCCTCTGGTTTCAAGTTAAACCAATGTGACAAATGTTTTTATAGTCGATTTAATGATGCTATTGGTGCAGGCATGATCATTTGCTTATATGTAGATGGCATGTTGATTTTTGGTACCGAACAATATCAATTAGATGAAACAAAGCAATTGTTGTCATCTAAATTCTCCATGAAAGATTTGGGAGAGGCTTATGTAATTCTTGGTATAAGAATTAAGAGGGTGAACAAGGGCTTAGTAATGACTCAAAGTCAATATGTTGAGAAAATTCTCAAACGGTTCAATTTCAGTGATTGTTCTCCTGTGAGCACTCCTATGGATTCAAGTGTGAAATTAATGCCTAACTCTGGAATTCGTATTAGAATACTCTAAGGCTATTGGTAGCTTGATGTATGCAATGACAAGTACCAGACCTAATATTGCTTATGATATGGGAAAGTTTGAGCATGTACACTAGTAATCTTGGTGCTCAACATTGGCAAGCGGTCAATAGAGTGTTTAAGTATCTCAAGGGAAACAAGGATTATCGGTTAAGTTACTTGGGAAGCCCTTCGGTCTTAGAAGGTCATTCGGGTGCAAGTTGGATAACCAACACGGAGGACCATTCCTAAACAACTGGTTGGGTGTTCTTTCATGGGGGAAGTGCAATTTCCTTGGCTTCCAAGAAGAAATCTTGCATTATAAACTCGAAAATGGAATCTGAGTTTGTTGTGTTAGCTACTGCTGGTAAAGAAGCAGAATGGCTAATGAATTTAGTCTATGAGATTCTTTTGTGGTCAAAATCGATAACACCTATATCTGTCCTTTGTGATAATGCAGCCGCTTTGGCTAAGGCATATAGCCAGGTTTATAATGGCAAGTCTAGACACTTAAGTGTTAGACACATTATGATTAGAGAACTAATCATGCTAATGTGATTTTGGTTGAGTTTGTGAAATCGCAACAAAATTTGCCAGATCATTTGACTAAAGGTCTGACAAGAGACTTAGCTTACAAGTTTGTTATTGGGATGAGATTAAAGTCCATTTGATTATGTAATGGTGATACACCCAATTCCCTTCTAATATGTCATGAGGAGTTGAATTTAATGTGGAAAGCTCACACTTATAGATTGAAACACATAAAGTATATATCACAAGTATATGCTCGGTTCTGCAAGTTGTCCAGGTTGAAGTCCATTTAATAATTCCTTTGATAAAAAATGTATGTGCATATACATGAAGTAAAGAAATTACCTACGTGATTGTGAAGTGTAGCCGCATTTCAAGAGGTTGGGGACTTGGCCTTGATACAGTCATGAGAGGATTAGGACACACGGCTTTACAATAGTGACAAGTTGTATTTCGCTAGAAAGTTCAATAAACTAGTATGTATTTTACTTTTAGGTATTCAGTTGGGTTGAAGTGTTTTATTCTTAGAACACCCTGATTCTTGAGTATTTGAATTGTTTGATACTAAGATGAGAATTCAATCGTTTCGACATTTTCATTTATGTATTGGTTTGGTTTGTTTAGATAATTTTATGTTAGTTCATGGGTTACACTAAAATGGGGGAGGATGGTTGGTGATTTTAGTGTCACCAGAGCTAAGGGGCTTATTTGTATTTTATATTATATGTTCGGTGAATGTTGAGTGCATGCATGTATAAGATCAATTATAAGCCGGTACGACAGAATGGCGGGGGTTAAGGGGGTTGCGCCCCCCTGTAGGGTCCTACGGGTAGCGCCCTTAGTAGGGTCCAAGGGGAAACGCCCCAAAAGGTCTTTGGAAATTTGAATTAGTTTCATTATAGAAAAACCGAATTTTAGTGGGTGATTATGGTAAGATTGACAAATCCTGTCAGTTTTGGAAAACATTGATTAAACCATTAACTCGAGATTCTCCTAACTAATTTAGAAGAAAAAACTCTAATCTGTCAGGTATATATACGGCTTCTCATTTATACAACTTCTCTTTTGAGCCGTAGATAACTCTTTTTTGCTCTTCTTCTTCAAAACGAAACTTAGAACTCTCTGGCGATTTGGTTTGTGTTTTTGTGTCTAGATACACAAATGTCCTTTTGGATTATCATAGACTGGATTTCTTGTAACCCAGACATAGGGTGGAAATATTAATTCGGAAAGTGACCTTACACGCTCCATTAGGAATCCGGTTTTCACCATCACCCTAATATTCCGCCAACAGAAACACGGACATGTCTGAAAAGGAGAGAAAGGTGAGACAGCCGTTCAAGAGGTTCCTAAAATCATAGCCATATACCGATTCGTACTAAAGGTCATAAGGCGATAAGGTATCAGACGAAAACAAAATTTTACATCACAATATTTCAACAAAAACAGCATGCAATAATAACTTACACAATAGTATCTTATATCAGTACTACAAAATGCAATAATAACTTATCCCTCATACAATACATGTTATACATTTCCTTCCCCTCTATATAGCAAATCTACCAAATACTTCATATATCATACAAAGCTCCTAATTATGACTTTGCTGTATCCAAAAATAACAGCATCAGCTCCAGCAACAACCTGCATTTCTCCCAAACTCACAACTGTTTTCGACTGACAATGTCGACGCCATACGGTACAACCAATAATGCATACAATACAACCCATCAAGGCATACAGTACAACCCCAAAATGCATACTATACAACCCAACAACGCATCAAAGTCCTTAGTCAGAAATCCTGTACCCACACTACAGAAACAACCACCTGGAAACTGCATACCAAGACTTCCAAGCTCCATCTCCAGAAAACCCGTGAGCCTTGATGCACTTGAGTTGCACCCATACACGGATTGTGAACCAAACTTACTGACCAAACCCTTGAAACGCTAGACCAGGGTCTCCCTTTTACAAGGGTGTGTTACTACCTAAACTACTACCAACACGAATTTGAGGTTCACGAAGAGCAAGCCTAATGGTTCCACTCTTAAAAGATCGATAAACATCAATACACTCCTCTACATCAGCATCACAAGTTAGTAATACCCATTCAGAATCATCATCAAGGTATCTCAGTTGATACCCACCTATATCATTCAAGCTATACCTCTTTGCGATTTCTTGCAGCAACTCATTATAACCCCAATCCTTTTGCAGCCGAAAACGTATCTTTTCTTCGCCAAAAGTCACTTTTACCCTCCAAAGACCCCCTTCCCGTTTAATGTAAGGTTTCGGAGGCCGGTTTTGACATTTTGGAGGATCATTGAGTGATCCTAGAAAGAGCTTCCGTTCTTGTTCTTGATCTTGATCTTGATATCGATCTTGATCTTGTTCTTGATCACCGGTGTCTTCTTTGACCGGTGGGGCCTGGTGGGTCCCACCGGACAAAGAATGACTAGAACTCGAACTCTGACTGCATGAAATGACGGTGTTGCCCCCCTTTGAGTCGAAAGTTTCAGTTTTTGTAGCCGCAAACGGGAGCTGAGTCGTTGTTGACGGGTCCTGAGATGCGAGTTTAGGAAAGTTTGAATAGAAGGACTCGATTTGAAACGATCCGGATCCACCATGAACCGAATCCATCACAAGTTGGATCTTTCTTAAAGAGTGTCCAACTTTCTTGATCTTCCGTGACGGCCACCGTTGTATCCCGTGTTGCCTACATATCCGTTTCAGAGTCGTTGGACAAACTGAAATTACAACAACTCAAATCAAGATCCAAAATAAACAAAATATTCAAATCATCTCTCTCACAAAAATGATAAAAAGAATAGTACAAAAATGTACTATTTTGAACTTACCACCAATATTTTTGGCAGCATCTTTCAGGCTGCCAGCAAAGTGTTGCCTTAGCATTTCTAAAGTGATACTTTTCTCCATCTTGACACCAGCCCTTCTTTTCTCCGTGCCTGAACCTGGACCAGGGTCAGGACCAGGTTCTGTTGTTTCTTGAATTTTGGGAACATGTTCTATATCAGAAACAACAAGTAACCCTTCATTAACAGCCTCTTCCTGCAACTCCTTTTCTGTAACGAACCTTAGGTTTCGACAAATCTTTTGTATGATATTCAACAAAGAATTAACCACACCCTTTTGATCTTCTTGATTCTTGCATTCAACAGGCAAGAAAAACTCCAACACAAAGTCAACTGTATCAGCATAAGTTGTTCTAAGACGTATAGCCACAGCAGCATGCAAGTCAAAGTAACTAGCATGATGAGCAAGTGGGTATTGGGTTTTCGTGTATGATGTCACATCAGGTGAGTAACATGGCTCATTGGTTGTGAAAGCTCGACCTACTACACCTTGACCTTTAAATAAATGATGCGCAGAACAAGCTTCTTGGAAATCTTTGAAGTAAGGATCGGATACGTATGAAGCAATATCTACAGTGGAAAGACAGTAGACAAGGTTTTCATTTGAGTGGCGGCAGCCACTTTTGCCGCCTTGTTGGATGCATGGAGTCCATGTCTGAGCTAGCGGTAGATTATGCATCTTGCATGCAGATTTCAGGGTTTCAAGAATCTCCGGTAAGGCAGGATGATAGAAGCCGTTGCTTACCTGTACAGAATCAAGAAGCTTAACAATAATTTCTTGAAAAAAAAATTCAGTTTTTTGTTAAAACTAGGCTTCTACTTACGTTTATTCTCTGTGTGTTTGAATCTTCAGAACTCCTGAGGTCAACGGCCTATCAGAATCATAAAGTTCTTTCAGATTCCAAAGATCACAACCAATAACTACCATCAAGATTTTAAAGGTATTGTAGGGCATAATACAGAAAAACCATTATATTTTGGATAGTTTAGGGACCACTACACGTTATTTTTTAGTCAAACCATGAAAATTTCAAAAAATTTTCCAAATTAACTATTTTGACATGTTATATAGATTTCACTTCATGGTTACATTGTTATATTGGGTTTCATCGCTAATTTTCCAAAGTAACAATTTTGACATGTTATATGAGGTCAAAATGGTTAAATCGGAAAAATGTCACAAACTTTTATGGTATGAGCGATAGAAAAAAAAAGTATAAGCGGTTAAAAGGCAAAATTGTACAGAAAAGAATGGTTTTTTAGTAATTTGCCTTTTTTAGTAGATTCAACTTACAATATAATCTTGAAAAACTAGAAAAACATACCTCGAGAGCCTTACAAACACTTTGAATCTCTAGAGCGTAAATACTCTTTTGAGTAGTCATGATAACCTCAACAACACCAATGCAATCTTTAACATCTTGATCAAAAACGGGAACTGCAACACTCCCACGAACATCTTGTTGTTGTGCATGAGAAACTCTTGGATACTCTTCTATCTTGAATAACCGAACATCAGGAGTCCATTCAGGAACTTTTCCCATAAATACCCTTCCAGGCAATCCAACACTACCCTTAGCATTACCCTCAGCTGGAAAAGTATAACCTTCTGATATGCTTCTATAATTAGAAAGCCGAGGGCAATTCAATTCAAGTGAGAAAAGTTGTTGACTTGTACTTAAGACTTTCTTGCCATCTTTAATTTCTGGTAGCCATACTTGAATAAGAACATTCTTGTCTACTGTGTAATGTTTTATGTTGTCGATGGCATAAATCAATCTTTCCATTACAGATAATGAAGGGCCAGAACTTGCAGTAGGTGCAATCCACCATCGTTTGCTCGATTCAGAATTATTTTCAGATTCATCATTAGGGAAACCAATGAGATTTTTGACATGGGATTTCGACGAATTTCTTTCAGGGGCGAAAAGGTCTTTTGACACCGGCTTCCCAATGTTGGATTCCAAATTAGGCCATTGAAATGAAGGATCGAAGATGGAATTGGAAGGAGAAGGATTGTTGTTCGTGATTTCAGATCCATCAGTTGCTTGTAACCAACATCCGTCTAACAAGAGTTCATCCATGTAATCAAAATCCATTAGGGAATTGGATGGATTTTCGAATGTGAAGACATTATTATCCATTGGCAGTTTTGATCAAATTTACACAGCTTCTATGAGTCAAGATTTATTGTTCATAACCCTTCAAACTATTATCTGTCAAAAGTGAGGAGTAACATTCTGTAAGTTTGCACATACTATTGAGAAATCAAGAAAATAAATAAAAATTGGTATTTTGACTAATTAGTCAAACATGTAAAAAAAATCATCAAAAGATGAAAAACAGAAAAAGATCAATCAATGAAGAAACCCCAGTTAAGAAAAGTCGATAAAATTCTTTACTTCTCCAAATTTGAGGTGAAATGACATGATGAAAAATCAAATTATAATCTAACAATTTGCTAATTTGACTTGTTTGACTGGTCAAACATGGCGAATGACAATCAGCAGAGGCGAAAAGATCAATCGATGAAGAAATCCCATATGAGATTACCCATGTAAATGATAAGAAAACACTAGGAATATCAAAATATTGTGAAAATTTTGGTATTTTGACTTTCTAACCGGTCAAACATGTAAAGTAATCATCAATAATTGAAGAAACACCAAGTTGAAAATACCACATATAATTCCAATAACATTCCAAAATAACATGCTAAAACCAGTACTAAATCAAAAGATTTTGTATATATTTGCTATTTTAACTTGAGTAATTGGTCAAACATGTAAGATAAATCATCATCAGATGCAAAAAGACCAATCAATGATCAAATCCCAGTTAAGAATACCCCATACATCATGATAAAAAGTTAAAAACACTTGAAAAATATCAAAATCTTCTGCAAAATTGCTATCTTGACTTATATAATATATCAAACATATAAAAAAAAAGATCATCAGTGCAGATAATCCATCAAAATTCCTACAAATCTCCATATTACAGAGGAAATGCTATGATTAAAATTAAAAAAAAAAAAAAAAAAATCTTACAGATTTTCTCAAGGTTTGTCGGTTAATCAAATAAAGGCGACACATTTTTATCTAGGGAGGAACTCCTTTCCTTAAATAAACAGAATCGAGAATAATATTAAAATAAATTTGATAAAATCTTATGGGCAACATAGAACAAAAGACCAAATAGATGAATCTGGTCAGAAAAAAAAAAGGAAACTGTTTTCTTGCTTCAAATGAAGAGACACACATAGAAATCATCTTTATATTCTACCTTGTAATCATCTTTGTGTTCCTTTAACTCCAATGTTCTTGAAACCTTTTTCCAGGTCTGCTGCTTTGTTGTTTGTTCAAGATTCTCCTTGCAATCTCAGAAGCCCCACCATAACCTCCCTGGGGAATCGCACAGCTGATCAAGATCCTTTGGGAAGAGAAGGAAAGATTCAATCTTTAAGATGGAACTGTGATGATTCAGGGAGAATACAAGTACAGAACTAAGGATGGCTGATGTAAGATAGATTAAATAATGGTGTTTTCTTCATTTTTTTAGTGTGGGTTTGTTTGTGATGTAAGCGCAATTAGGAACCACTAGAGGCAAACTAATGGATTGTCACTTAACTTTCCACAATTTCTGATTTGGCCACTATGGTTTCATTTATTACCGTTTGTGCATTATATCTTGCAGAACTTAACAATTTACATCACTTGATGAAACTTATTGGAACTTTTATTCCTTCGAATATATGCTTGAATAGGACTGAAGTCAAAAACCTCGTTTTTTTAGAACTAATTGAATAATCTTTCTTAATTGCTAAGCATCTTCAGCTATATATATATATATATATCTAGATATATATATATATATATATATATATTATATATATATATATATTAGTTTAGTATCTATGGAAAAACAAAAAACCCGAAAAATCATAAAAATGCATCAAAAAATTTAGAGATCACAAAAACTTTTTTTGAATTTTTTTTATAAAAAATCGCAGCTTTTTATTAAAATTCGCGGAAAAAAAAAATAAAAATCAATTTTTTTTTTTTAAAAAAAAAAAAAAATTTCAAATTTTTTTTCAGCGATATTTCTTTTAAAAACTGCGATTTTTTCATAAATAAAGTCAAAAAAAAGTTTGTGATCTAGGAGTATTTTTTTTTATGCATTTGTATGATTTTTGAGAGTTTTTTTGTTTCCAAATAACCCTTCCCTATATATATATATATATATAGATATATATATATATATATATATAGATATATATATATATATATATATATATATTCAGCACATGACCAAATTATATCATATAACCACATATCACATGAAAAATGACTATATGAACGGATGTTCATGTATGTTCGTATTCATGAACATCAATATGACATATGTTAATAAATAAATAAGAGACATTTTTCATGTGGTTATATGGTTAAGTCGTACAATTTGGTTCTATGTTGAATCTCATTATATATATATATATATATATATATATATATATAATATATATATATATTATATATATATATATATATAGATTCAGCACAGGACCAACTTATATCATCTAACCACATACTCACATGAAAAATGACATATACGAACGTATGTTCATGTATGTTTGTGTTCATGAACATCAAAATGACATATGTTAATAAATAAATAAGAGTCATTTTCATGTGGTTATATGGTTAAGTCGTACAATTTGGTTCTATGTTAAATCTTTTGATAGCTTATTTTATTTCCTTATTTTTATTAATTTATTTTAGTATTTTTAGCTCTTTTTATTAGTATTACATTGTATATTCTTTATTTTCTTTTTCATGGATCATGTCGGGTACTTTCTATTTTGCATGAGATATTTTGTAGGGTTTTGAAGCTCATTGCGGTTGCGGTTTGACTGGAGTTGGGCTTAGTGGGCTTCTCGATGCATTATTGGGCTTTACGGATCCATCAAAGGAGATTTGGACTTAAAAAGTTGAAGATTTGGATGAAGTGGACTTTTGAAGATGGGTCATGGATTCTTATTTTGGGCATGGACTATCCATTTTTAAAGTTTGAAGGTGATTGGCCAAATTCAAATCAAGTAAGTCATGGAGGGGACCAAGGGAATCTTGGGTAGTGGAATGGGTAGTGGAGAAGAATGGACCAATAACATTCCAGCAACACTTGCGAGGGTGGAATCTTAGTCGCGTGGGTACCCGTGCAACTGCACATTTTTGGGCGTTTTGGTCATTTGTTTACCATTTACCTTGGGGGTTGGATCTTTTCAGCATACTTCGATTTTCCACCATTAGAGACCTGGGGAGGCGATTTTGGGAGCTTGGATACTCATTCTTCTCATCTTTCTAATTAATTGGTAGATTTTTGATGCAAAACACTTTTGGGATTGTTATTTTGTTGCCATGAGTGGCTAATTTCTCTATTTTGGTTAACTTTAGCTAAAATCCTTGGATGTTTGTGGGTTTTTGAAGGATTCATGCTTAATTGTCATTTATCTTATGTTTATTATTCTAGTTCATATTTCTTATGCTTGTTTAATACTTTGATCATGAGTTTGGTACTTGAATGAGCAATTGTTGGTTTATTTCTTTGGTTTAGCATTGAATCATTGAATTACTTAGAACAAGGGCTTTATGATGGGTAGAAATCATCTCTAGCTTATGAATCATGACTCCTCTATGGATGTGTAAGCATTGACATCCTCTAGGAATTGGGGATTCCTTCATTCTTAGGCTAAATCACTTCTTGGGTTCAATTGCTTCAATTAGATCCTTGATTTTGATTAAGAAGGTGTGTTGTGGGCTTCCCCAACCTCCATACTACCTATGAGGAATCTTGACATATCATGCTTCATGATTGCTATAACCAATTTGGGATGAATGATAAGTTGCATATTGAATCCTAATGATAAACACACAAATGTTCATTGTGTTGAATTGCCTTGGTTAACCAATTCTCTCCAATATTTGAGCATCTCATCATCTTGCTAAATTGCAAGCTTTTTAGTTATTCAAGTCTTTTAGTTTTCAAGCAATCACAACACCCCCCTTTTAGTTTAATTGTAGTTAGTTAGTTTATTTACATTAGTTTTATTGGATTGCATTGGTGATTGAATATAACCAATTCCCCGAGGCTCGATACCCCTTTTTACCATTATATTACGTTTTTATTTGCAAACAAATGGTGTGTAATTGCTTGATGACTTGACATCCCACCATCTTTATATATATATATATATATATATATATATATATATATATATATATATATATATATATATAAGTGTTGTAAAGATCCTGATTAGGTCCCAATTAGTCCTTCAGTGTTATCTAACCGACTAGAAGATGCCTAGTGATTAATCTATATCTACAAAATGAGCGAAGCAGTACCAAACGATGAAATTTTAACACTTTGAAGGAGTTCTATCTCAATAGAAACTATATGAGGAAATATTAGTGTTGTATTAATCATATTAACATATTGTGTTATGATATTTAATTTTTCCGTGACACCCCCTACCGTGAAATCATGCGTCCGCCCCTGTTAATCATATTTAATTTTTTAAAATTCAATGAATTAGCAATTTAGGATCCCCGATTAATTCTTGTCTAGCCGATTAATCCTTTAACCTTAGTCCATCGACTAGCTAACGTCGAACGTTTTTTACAACCTATATATATTATATATATATCTATTATATATATATATATATATATATATATATATATATATATATATATATATATAATATTCTTTCAGAAGGATTCGTATCAAGAAGAATGAGATTGTATTCTAGCAGAATGAGAGTGTATTCTACTATAATACACTCTCGTTCTTCATATTTCATGCAACTTTATTGTATTTTAAGTGAGTGTCCTGAAACAAAACATGAATCCATACATAAAAACTTAAATATGAATTCATTCTGAAAGAATGTTATTGCTGACATTAATGACGAATTTAATTAGTTTCCATAAAAAAGAATTGTAATTATAGATATCATTTAATATACATACAATTATGGAAATCATTTAATATCTCTCTTTATTTAATTAAATAATTATTTAGTTTTACTAAATTTTTATCGGTGCATTCTAGCACACAATAAATATAAGAAATATATTAACATTTAATATATACTATATATATATATATATATAATATATATATTATCTATATATATATATATATATATATCTAAGACATGGAAAAACGTCGAATTTATTTAACATAGGTTGGATGGAACCAAACCAGCAGGGGCGAATTTACTTGGACATTAGATGTGTCCATGGATCCATCTTATTTTCAAAAAACTTTTCTAGAATTCTGACATGTTGAAAACTTTCCATCAATATAAGATAGGCTTCGAAACTCTTACATATCAAAAGTTATGATTGTTTGAAGTTTAGTTTATTTATCTCCTTTTATCATTGTCTCATTTATTCAGGAAGGACTATGCTAAGTCTTTGTTATGCTTTGCATCATATTTTGTTTGGTAAAAAACCAAACACCTGTTTTTATATTAAAAGAAAGCTCAGATCTAAAAGGATGGGTTGGTAGTTGCAAGTTATTTTATCTAACTTACATATTAACTTATTGCATCACTACAAATTGATGTGTTTTATATGATCATCAATATTCAACTTTAAGAGCTCAACAATCATTATAGTGAAGTAACACGTCATTGCTCTTACTAAATACTACTGATATATTTTGTGTCCAAGTATAGTGTTTTGAAGCATTTAAAGTGAACAAACTACACAAAACAACTAAAGCTTATCCTAAATAGCTCTCGAGACATAACCTTGAGAACTTAGAGAAAATCTTCATAATTATATTGTGGATGTACAAGGAAATTCAAAATTTAATAATTATAGTGGAATTGAAAACTTAGAAAGGATGAAAGTATACATTATATCCAATGGTATATCTTTTTAAAAAAAATAGCAAAGTTTTTACATATTGAATTATCCACCGTAGAACATGCATTTTCAGCAATTAAGCTTGTAAACGACGTTTGAAAATTGTTATTAAAATGATACTTTCCTTAGATTATATTACTGATAACACAACGTGATAACCAAACCTTTTTATCGGTTTATTTGTCACATCAATTAAAGTGTTGTTTGTTTTTTAAGAGATAAATGTCTACAATATATGGACCACATATGTAGAAGAAATGGAATGGTGGAATATAATTCATACAAACATATTGCTTATAAAATTTTATACAATACTAAAATATAATTCATGTAATGGTAATGTTTTCTTTATAAAAGGGTTATATATATATATATATATATATATATATATAGATAGATATATATATATATATATATATTATATATATATATATATAAAAGTTATAAAAGTGTTTCTTACAAAATTTTTATACAGAAAACATTTTTTAAAAGTTTTTTTTCTATGTTTATAACGATTGTAATTTTTTCTTGATTTAGTATGAAAAGTAGTTAAAATATTACGTCTTTTATAATATTATCTAGACTTTGGAAGAACCCAAACTACAAAGTAATGTATA